CAGCAGCAGCTGGACCTCTGACTCGAGTGTTCAGCAACGCCTCTGGGCTGTGATGGAGTACGGGGTCACAGCACACAGGTTTGGGCTCGAGGGTGGTGTTAGGGTCAGCCCTGTCAGCTTCAACATCTCCTAAAACCCTGTATCCTACTCCTGCCTGCTTCTGTGTGACTTTGAGCACGTTTCAGTTCACGTTCTCACCTCAGTGCCCCCACATGTAAACAGGAGTTAATGGCATTCACTTCCTTCAGCAGAGTGCTGACAGTTCATTTGGTAAAATTTCCCAAGTTCCTGAAATGAAAATACCTCTGAAATATATTGTATGAAATGGGGAAACTCAGCACCCATTTTGCTTTTCTTTAGATGATCCTTAGCTTTCCTGCTTCTCATGTGTCCCTGCCACAGACACACATTGTTGGCTTAAAGAGATTCTGCAGTTCCAGTTCACCCCAAGCCAAACAGCAAAACAGCAGCGCTGCAAGTGTTCAAAACATTGTGGTAGTTAAATGTCCATTAGAATGGCCCCAGATCCAGATCTAGAGAAACATTTCTAAAATATGTCCCAAGGGCTAGCAGTACCAGTTACCCAAGTCTGTCAACTTCATGGTGGAAACACCTGTTCCCATCCACAGTGAAATCACAAAGGCTTATAACAAGTGGACCCAGTAGCAGGGCCACAGATCCAAACTGGAGTCAGAGAAGCTTTGTCAAATTGGGCTCAGCATAAATAAGGTTTGGGAAGACCTCTGGACCAAATTCCAAGTCCTATAGTGAGAAGTTATGGATGGACCAGGGGCAGTCTCTGTAAGTGACATTATTCTTTTTTCTTTCTGTTCTGCTATACGTTTGTATGTTCTTCCCTAACCTCCTTTCCTTTCAGAGAATGCACTATACAGTTTACAAATCCAAACTTATAGGGGCACTTTTAGGTTAAATATGGCACAAAATTTAGATTTCTTGTAGGAGTAGGCTTACAGAATTCCTTGACAATAGTACTGTTTTCATTAAGTTTAGTTTTTAAATTGGGCTAGACAATTTTTTATTTTTTTTTAAGAAAACTCTAAGTAATCCACCTTGAAAAACATTGCATTACTATGACATTGCATTAAACCCAGGAAGGTAAACTAATTAGAAGTTGAACACAGACCAAACCAAAGCCAACCACTCTGCTTTCATACATCAAACAATTTGAGACACACAAAGGCTCATTATTAATTGTGAAAAGTAAATTGAATTGTAATCAGTCTCCCAGCTTTAATAATCTACAATGCTGGGTGTTAGCATAGCTATGGGATATTTTCCTTGAAAGTATTTTTTAACTCTGACATAAGCAATCAATTACTCACAGCGTTAGTTTACTTAAGTAGATAATCATTAATTACCAAGCACTGCATGTGTTAACGAGAGTATCAACTAGCTTTTAAAGCAAAGGTCTGAGAAGCAGAATGCCTAAGGTTTGTTCCAGGCTCAGCTATATTCATTGCCGTGGCACTGTGGCCAGGTTATTTTCTCTATGGATGTAAGTGTCTCCTGGGATGAGATAATACACCTGAAGTACTTGAAGGAATTCCCAAAGGAAACAAATATGCTCATAGTCCTGAGTATCCAACCCTTGTGGGTTTATTTCAGCAATTGCAGGGCAGAGTATCTAACCAAGATCTTAAATGGATCCTGGGTAGACTAGTGCACCTGCCTATCCCTGGTGGAGTTTCTTTGTGAAAATTTGCTGTTTGCTTATCCCAGTCTACACTAAAAATTTTGGCTGGTACAATAATATCAGCTGGGGTACAACTATTTCTGCAACATTTTCATATCGGCAAAGCCCTAGGCACAGCTATGCCTGCAAAAACCTGACATATATATATCAGTTTTGCTGGTAAAAATGTGTCTGCAAGAGGAGGATTTGCTTATACACCTAAACAACTGACTTATTTAGTAGAGACTAGGCATTAGTCTAGGAATGCTTTTCCCTAACACAGTATTTTAAGTTTTGAAGAGTCCAGTCTTTGCACACAGAGGATTAGAAAATCAGAAACCAACACACTTACACAGAAAAATCAATTAAATCCAAATGTTCTCTTGAGCTTCATGGGCTGAGCTTCCCAAATAAATGTGCTATTTCGATCAAGCTAATTCTTTGTAGACCATGGGAAAATGGTGGAGGGACGGTAACAAGGAGAAAGAATAAATCACTTTCAGACCCAAACACCAACATGTTTGGTACAAAATACTATGCAATGTTGTTTTAAATCAGACTGGATCCCTATAGCTCAGTAGCATTCCTCCAAAAAGCCCAGTACCAGATGCTGTAGAACATAGAGGAAAATGCAAGTAGCTGTACTAGGGAAATGAGGAAACACTTCCTCTGTGGCCACAATACTCCAAACACCTATCAGATAAGGGTGACTTCTGAGCTGACACGGGATGCTTTGTGCTCCTTTTGTTTTCTTCACATCCTATGAAACCTGCCTTTGTATGTTTTCTTTATCCACAAACAATCCCATTTCTTTTGCAAAGCTGTTGGCCTCTCTCCCTCCTTTGGACCAAAGCATTACAAAGGTTCATTATACATGGCGTAGTTTCCTTTTATGTATTACATGACTTGCCTTATTGACTGTTTCCTTGTTCTTGTGCTATGACAGAAGATAAGGAACATAGGATTTATCACCTCTACCAAGCTCAGATTTTGTGTACTTATATGGTGCTTCCTCTTCACTGTATCCTGTAAAGACTCAGTCATTGTTCTTACCTCATTCATAAGTTTTTCTGTGCTTCTTGCCATTTACGTTATCCTTTTGTGAACTCCCTTTATTTCTGCTATATCAGACTCCATCTGTTTCTGCTATATATCAAACCAGAATTAGGCACAGTTGATAACTCTCAATAGATTTTTTTTCTTCCCACTTGGTGTAAAGTTATTAAGTGTGCAAGTTATCAATAGAGCTGTGTGAGTAATAATGGACTTAGGTTTAATGGCTGACCCAAAAAATAAAACAAAGTGGGGAGAGGGAGACAGTTCAAACTGTTTTGTTTCATTGTTGGTTATTTGCCCCTTTTCTAAAAATGTAACAGTTTTGTATGGCTTCTCAGAAATTAAATTCAGCTTGGATTTTTTTTTTTGTTCCCTCCAGTGTGTAGGCTACTCTAAACTGAGCTCACAATCAGTACAGCTCCTCAATCTCATCCTAACTCTGTTCTGGGAACACTGCCATCACACCTGTGACTACAGGTTAGTGTAGACATATCTTAGGTAGCTTAAAACCAGTTAATTCAAGTACCAATGACAGTCTAATTGTGTGCATGAGGAGGCTACATTAACACACTGTACTCTCTGCTGCTGAGGCTAGATACCAGACTGGCTCAGGTTTGGCTCCACTACATTGCAGTCATTGTAACCTAGTCATCCCCACTGCCTAAGGTAAAGTGCTTTTTCCTAGCATGTCTACAAGGGGATGGGCGAGTCTCTGACAGTGCTTTCCAACGTAAGAACTTCTGGAGCAATCTGATCATCTTCTCCAGTCAACACCTGTAATTCATCCTGTGCCACTTCACTAAAAAGTCCAGCCCACTTAGCTAATTTCTGACTGAAAACTCAAAATGACCAGCTGGATATAAGAGGTTCTGTGCTGTAATTGGCTTTGTGAGCCCAGTCATGTAAATTTGCTGCTCGTCTGGTGGCATATATCATCCAAGACATGTGGGATCCCTGAGCAGTACCATATTTGGTTATTTCTTTTCATAGTCTCTGTTGGGTTGGCAGAAGAGGTATTTGCACCATGGGAGCATTCCAGAACTACTGCTCATCCTACAATGAAAGAGGTCTGTTTTAAATCTTTAAAGATGTCAAACAGCTCCAAAGAGGTGGTGACTGTTTTGAAAAGGAAACAAAAAGGGCCTCCTGAAGAATATAAATGAGTCTGTGAAATGCACACCCTCCCCCACGCCAAGTAATCAGTGTGTTCTGAATGTTCTGCTTAAAACTTGTTTCGTATTTGCCCACCACTATTGTAACACTCTTTAGAGCCCATTTTGACCTACAGTGTCACTTATTAATTGCTGAATGATCAGCAGCCCAGGAGCACCCTGAAGTTTGTGCAGTTAAAGTGCTTTTTTTAAGTGCTGTCATTCTTTCTATCATTAATCATGGCATCTAGAGTTTCTTCTGGCAATAATCTCCCCAAGGGGAAATCTGTTGTATAAAGCAAAAAGAGTTCCTTCAACAAGAGCAATTTTCCTGACAAAAAGCATGCACTAATATTACACTACCCTGAAAGGCCATTAGAAAATGCCTTTGGCAATTCTGTGGATCAGCAAGTTTTGGAGGAAGTCAATCAGAGTGAATGTTGGAAAACTGAAAGTGTGGGTACTAGGGCAAGTTGACAGAGGGAAGGGAAGGGATTGATTATTTAACTATTGTGTCTTAAATCGTGTCTTTCATATAAAAATGCTATGTAGATGAATGGTGAAGAGACTGCAGGATAAAGGAAATCCCAAATGTATGTAATTGCTGGGCCTGCCTCTTAAGGCTGAAGACAGAATAGTTCCAGTATTCTGGGCCCCTAATAGAGACTTCATTATTTCCTTAAGCGTTTCTATGACAAAATGTTTAGTCTTAAAAATAAGTGTCTGTTTGCCTTTGTTAATAGCAGCCAGAATCTTTACAGCTATTCTGCTATTTGCTATTTGTATTACAGCAGCAGTTCCCTGAGGCCAGAAACCACATGTCTATTCTCTGCATTCATGTCTATTCTCTGCATTATTGATATGAAAAAGTTGGGTAATTTGGTCACGAAGGTCCATGTTTTACTACCTCTATCACCAGAGTTGGGGAGAAAAGGTCTTAAGGCCCTGCTTGAATATCTCCCACATAAAATTCCTGTTGGAGTGAGATTATAGGAAACATCCTTTTAATTAACTGAAATTTCTTCCCTGATCTGGCAGGTTCTGAGTCTCTGGCTGGTGGAAAGCATACTGCTATCAGTCATCTCTAAAGATGAAGGGCCATGGCAAATGCCATTCCATATTGGACCCAAAGCCCACCCAGTCGAGTATCTTGCCTCATACAATGGTCAACTCGAGATGGTTCAAAGGAAGAATCGGGAAACCCTGCAGCAGATTTCTCCATGGATTGGATGGTGCAGGTAAGCATCCTCTGCTTGTATTATGGAACATTCCTACATTGCCCTTGGGGCTGTTCTACCACACTGACCTTCCCTTTGCTCTCTCCTGCACCAGTGTAGGAGTGAAAAATAGTCCAGTTATTCTTACCTGTTTTTTTGAACAGTCACTGCCTTTGAGTTAGTAGATAAGCCTAATGAGTAGAGTGTTTCTTCAGTCTGTATGTTATCTGTGGCTCTTTGTTTTTCCCTAGTAGCTCAGTATCACCAGTGTAAGATGTTAATGAGTTTCCTTGACTATCTGTGGTACAGCAAGGGAATGTTTCCTGCTCTGCAGACACCCTGACAGGCCTAGGGAGTCACTGACTATGACAGTCCTTCCACAGTTAGATATTGCCAGGAAGTGTCCTGTTGGCTTTTTTCAGTGGAGATTGTGTACCCCATAAGGCAGCTGGAGAGGCAGACCATTGAAACCCCCCCAGAATATTTGCTTTTAAAGTAAGATAGTAAGATAAAGAGGGTCTCCAGGGGCCCAAGAAAAACCTGGATATAAGAATAGAAGACTTTATTAGCACAACTGTTAGTAATTGTGAAAGTGAGTACCTGTCCTTATTACTAGTTACTTGGCAGTTACCATTCACCACAGAATTCACTTTGTGGGCTGGGGACAGAAGTTACACATAAACTGGTTTAAGTGATCAGAAACTGGTTTAAACCTGCAGCAGAGCAGAAGTTCAGTGCAAGTAAACTAGTTTCAAAATGGCCAAAACTGGTTTGAGATAAACCTGATTGAATGTAATATCAGACTTAACTGATTGAGGTCAAACCAGTTTATGGAACTTCTGTCCCAGACCTCTTCCTGGTTTGAGTTTAAATCAGAGTCCCCCAGGATCCCAGCATGCTTTGCAGTCCTGGGCTGTGCTGTGCTGTTTGCTTGAGCAAAGCACAGTTGGCCCCGCCCCTCTGCTCCCTAGCCAGAGCAGTGAGAGATGGCTAACAAGGGGGTGGGCGTGGGAAACCTGGCTGGTGCAGCCCAGTCTGCTGGCAGGGGCAGAGCAGCCCCTGCCAGACTTTTCCCCACTGGAGTGGAGGGGACAGGGGATATGGGCCAGCAGGCTCAGGGGGAGGGAGGGGGATTAAACCCCTTCTGCCTCCCCTCTCCCACCCACATGGGACCCCAGCCTGGGTCTGCCTGGCTTTCTCCCCTGCTGGCCTCTCTAGCAGCAGGGGGCATGGCCAGAGCCCACCCAGACAGCAGCCTCAGGAGTTTAATCCTCCACCATGTCCCCCCGTCTGCCTGAGCCTGCTCCAGCCACACTCCCTTGCCATGCAAGTGGCTGGCTCCCTGCTGTCACAAACCCCAGCTGGGGTCCCTATGCTGGTGGTAGAGAGGGGAGACAGGGGAGTTTAATTTTCTTCCCTGGCCCTCATTTACCTGAGGTGTTGCCCTGGGCCAGCTCTGGCCATGCCCCCTGCCATGTGAGCAGGCAGCAGGGGGCAAAGCTAGGCAGGCCCTAGCTGGGGTCTCCATGCTGATGGGAGAGAGGGGAGATGGGGGGGTTTAATTCCCCTCCCTCCCCCCACTTCACCTGAAGCACTGCCCTGGCCAGTATCTGGCCACATGCCCCCCCCCCCCCTTTGGGGGACAAATCTGGCAAGGGCTGCTTGACCCTTCCCACTCCAGGCATACCTTGGCTGGGGTCCCTGCAGGCCAGGGTGGATGTTTAACCCCCTCCCCAATCATATTCAGCAGCCTGCCAGGGCTTGGCCATGCCCCTCCTCCCCAGCTCAGCTTCCCTCCAGCCTTGCAGCTGCTGCCAAAAGGAAAGGAGGGTTTGCTCTAGCACCCCCTGGCCTTTAGCCTGAGCCACTGCAGATATATAGCTGCATTTCTGAAATCAAAAGTGAATGTCTATTGACTTGCAAATTGGTTCAAGCTACACAGGTTAAAATAACCTATAAAGATTGAATCAATTCAAGCTTGGGTTTTTTTGTTTTGTTTTGTTTTTATGTCTGTACTTAGCTGTGGTGTCCAATTTTTAACCTGTCACCTGGGAAGCATCCAAGTACCTTTGGATACCACAGAGATGCAGCTGAAGGGCTGATGTGAATTTGTAGTGGTGCACTGCACTTCTGTCATGAAGTAATTCCAAATGGAAACAAAAGCAATGCTGGAAAATTCCCAGCAACTAGTCACATCAGTGCAGAAATCTCTGCCTTTAGCCAGACAAGAGCATAGTTGCTGACAGAGGAATGCACCATCCCCAGGTGTGGCCCAGCAATAAACAGTCTGGAATGGCAGAATATTCTGCAGATCTGCCTGGTTACCTGAGGGGCTTTAGCAGAAGTCTGGAGACTGCAATGGTGTGTGTTTGAAGTGGGAGATCTGGAGGTGGCTAGAAACGGCTCTTCCTTATTTTTGGAGCCTGCCACTTTGAGATGCTCTGATTTATCTCCACCACAGTTATTCAGTATGTGGCATTTCCCACAGTGCATAAACAATTAATACTGTGGTAATTAGTCCTGGTAGCAGTCATGGTGATAAAGGTGTAGTTTCTGTCCTGACATACTCCTAACTACTTTTTAAAAAATGGGGGAAAGAGTAAAATAAGGGAGGAAATTGTGCCATCATGGAGTGCTCAAACTGTTGCACCATGGGAGGTCCTTACTCATATGATGATGCATGAAATCAAGATCCTGCACACTCCCACTCGCTGTAGAGCTCCTGGTACTGTAAGAATTTGGGTGTTAGCCTCTGTTCTGGGCAAATTCCAGCCTGAGCAATTGCATTCTAAATTCCCACTGCTGTTCCAGATGGAGATAGTGTTTGCTTCCTTTTCTAAACAACTGTGCAGTGTTGCTCTGCATGCTGCTCTCCCTAAATGGCTGTATGTGAAAAAGGGTGAAGTAATACTTGCTCAGAAACATCGGTTTGTGAAGCACATGGAATGAATGGCATTGAGTAAGTGGAAGATACTATTTTGTGAATGAGGATAATACACTGGGTTGAGTTTCCATCAAGAATGTTCATCCCAAGTGGTTTCAAGTACTGTGGTTAAAGAAAACAGACTGCATATTTTTGTTTTTCCTAGCATAAAAAGACTTGCTGTTCTCAATAACATCAAACCACCATAAATAAATCAATCAAAGCAATAAACCCTCCCATGCAAAGACTGTCATTCCCTCAAATTGTAAAAGCATGTGAAAGCATTGGGCATCTAAAGAATACTCAGAATTGCAACAGCAAACCTTCTAGCACTAACTGCTAGGAACACTGAGGACTCTTTCAGAGACTTGTCCTGTTGCATTTGGAGTCAGTGATTAAACTCTCATTAAATGGGAGCAAGTAAAGTCTAGTAAATCTTCTAATAGCTTGTCATGTCAAGGAAGTGGTTCAGTTCCCAACCTTTCCACAAGCTTCCTGTCTCATCTTGACCCACATCAGTTAGCTTCTCTGTGCCTCAGTTTCCCCTCTAGAATAAGATAATAGCACTTCCCCACTTGACAGAAAAGATGTGGATAAATTACATTAAATGTAATCTGCTTTTACAGTATTGGGGGGCCATAGAAGTTCTTTACTGTATGTCTACACAGTACAATGGCATTATCATGCAGAGTTGCTTAAGCTAGCTTGGGTACAAAAAGCACTATAAAACTGTTAGTGTGGTACTCTACCTGGACTCTGCTTTTCAGCAGGCCTGATGTAGCTTGGGTGGAGTGCCTTGCCAATGGATACACTTCCGGTACCTGAGTTAGCTAAGGTACTTCTACAGCTAGGGACAGAAGTCATACACAAACTGGTTTAAGTGATCAGAAACTGGTTTAAACCTGTAACAGATCAGAAGCTCAGTGCACATAAACCAGCTTCAAAATGGCTGAAACTGATTTAAGATAAACCTGGTTGAATGTAGTATTAGACTTAACCAATTTAGGTCAAACTGGTTTATGCAACTTCTGTCCCAGAGCCCTTTCTGGTTCAAGTTAAATTGCAGACCCCCAGCATGCTTTCCGGGCTGTGCTGTCTGCTCCAGAGAACAGGATTGGCCCTGCCCCTCTTTTCACTAGCTGGACCAGTGAGGGCTGGCTGACAAGGGGGTGGGGGACAAGCTCGGCTGGGGATGCAGCCCAGTCTACACAAGGGAGACTGCCCCCTCCCCAGGCAAATCCCAGCTGGGGTCTGGGGCCAGTGAGAGGTGTTAAACACTCCATCCCCTGCTCAAACTTACTGCTGGCTGCAACTGTAAACTACAAATCCCAGAGGCACCTGGAAGCAGGAAGAGGAAGTGATGAGCAACCCTGCCGAGTCCTGCTGCTGTAATTCTGGACTGCAAATCCCAGAGACCTCAGGGCAGCAGGAAGAGGAAGTAAACACCCAGCTAGATTCCTCCAGTGCTCTCCCCCATCTCTTCTGGCCTAAGCCATTGCAGGCATGTGGTTGCATTTCCTGAATCAAAGGTAAATGTCTGTTCACTTCTGTTTCAATTTAGTCTGTGCATTTTAGGCTAACCTGCAAAGACTGAATCGATTCAGTCTCAGGCTTTTTGACTGTCTGTACCTAGCTTACATGGCTGTGCACTGCACCATGTAAACAGACCCTTGGACATGTAGCTTTGTAGGGATGACTGTGCGAAGCAAAGTAGTTATTCCAAAGTATTCTGCAGTGCAAGAACTTCAGTGAAATTGTGGTCCCAGCAGTCTATAGTGGGTCCTTTGATTTAACACACTGATTCATGTTTAAAAAAAACCCTCAAATAAAGTTCCAGCTTGTGTCCCTGATTCTACACTCATAGACAATTGCCAATACCTAAAACTAGGAGGGAATTCCTAGGTTAAGTCCAATCCCCTGCTACTTCAGGCAGCCATATTAGAAGCATTTTCATTTTAGTCGTCTAACTTATGAAGTGGGGGGAACTATCAGGTGTTTGGTATCCAAATGTTTGTCATTGAGGAATGTCACATGTGAAAATGTAGATACAGAATTGGAGGCAAAAAAATCTGAAGCTCAAATGCATTACCTACCAGAT